CGCGAGTAAACATGACCGCATTTGGCGAAGAAAGGCTGTTTTAGCACTGTGACAAATACGTACCCATGAAGGCGCATTTATGCTCCTGATAACACAGCTCTAATCGAGGAAATTTTCGACACTGCAACTCACTTGCAAAACATCTCTCTATATTTGCAGATAATCTCAAACATGAAAATGTTCCGACGCAAGTGTTGGGTCTCGCTAGAAAAAGCCTATGCGCTTGAAGTACCCTCACTGGTATTTTGGTGATGACTGCGTGAAACAAGAGATACGCTCAAAAGGGCTGCATCTTTTTCAGATCACATTTAGCAGTACATGACGCTAACAAAACACGACCACGACCAGTGCCCTCAGATGTGCTTTGCCAACCTTGCCAAGAACGTGTGCCTGGAACACGTGGCAACGATTTCCACTGGCTCTTCTTAAACTGACGGAATGTTTCTAGCTCGTCTGCGTTTGCACACAGCAGCTTGACATTCTTGAGCTTCGCGCTCATTTGCGCCACCATTTGGGATGCTGACATCATCACAGCGGAGCTTGCCGCTCTGAGGTTGTAGAGCGTAGCCTGATGCTTTAGTAGGCCACCAACACCGTCACAAGAGTTCTTGCCAAGTTCTGTGGCCAAGAAAATCCACTTTGTTGATATATGATCTTTCTGACATAACTAGAACAACTGGTACTTGTTTTTTGAAGTGACTGCATGCACCATCAGAAACATCAGTAACATGCGTATCAGGCTTAAGTTGTTCCTTCAAATAGTTGTAGATTATTTGTAGAGCAAAACAGGTATGTACAGCATCATGGCATGTGTCATCACTGATGACGGCAAAACTTTGAATTGATTGCTTCTTTGTGACAACACACGTGAATATAGACGCCTGTCTTTTGTGCCAGTGACACGACTATACCTCATTCGGTAAAATGGCTGTCCAATTTTCGTCGAAATCAAAGTGAAAAATGCAAGATTCTTTTTCTTGGTTCTCTTTCGCCTGGCGTACTGCAGATTCTTGATTGTATCTTATGTAATTATGGGTAATCCACTTCACGAACCATAGACTTAGCTCTCGCAGAAAAGCACTTGCCTGGGCTGTTTTTTTTTTACTAGATCGCCATTTTCCCATACTTTATAGGCTACCTCAATATCTTCTGGGATTCTTAAACATGTGGCTGTCAGAGCGTTCTCCTTAGCACAATAGTCACAATGGCCTAAAAACAATCACTTGTAGCGGAGCTGCAAAGGCATAGTTCTTTCAAGACGTCCACCGTGTAGGCACCATCGGTGACGTCTTGTAGGGCAGAAACACACTCCGCGGCATAAGCAGAGTATATACAAAGGCACACTTCTTGGTGTGGTGCAAGAAGAACCCACTTCGGCCTCAGTGAATAAAACTTCGAAAGCCCAATAGACCCGTTCGGATCAGCTTCTCTAAAGAGACGGTACGCCTCTTGCACCCAACGGGTCATAAACCTTTTCAAAAACAAGCTTCGTTTTTCCGTCAGTGATGACACATACTACATCTTTTTTGTTGGGACTCTGCCGAGAGCAGCTATACTCATCTTTGGAGTAGTAAGCCATAGCTGCCTGGACGTTCAATCAGTTCAGCCGTGTCCTTTTTACCGCATTTGGTGCGAATCATATCGCGTGTTTCGCGCGCCAGCGTCGGGATCTGTATATCATGTAAGCTGACAAGTTTGGTATAAGCGCTTGGAGTTTTTGGCGCTCTATATCGCTCGGCAACAGTGTCAACAAACGCATGCGCTCTTGATACGAAGAACACGCTTCATAGGCTTGCTTGAAGTTCTTGAACCATTGGGCACACATACTGCATTTTAGATCTGATGGTTGGAAGTGGTGGTTGCGCACATTATTGTGGCGTTTCACGGTTACTGTAGAATTACTGCTAAGTTGTCTTGGCTCTGCATAAACTTTGCCATTTTGCGCATGCAGCTTCTCCAGTCGCATAATTGACAATGCTTCAGGCGTGTTTACGCACCGCTCTTGACTTCTTCCTTTTTCTTCTTCCGGCAAAAACTCATCAGCTGTTTCAGCTGAGAAGCCATTAGACGAAGACAGCATATCTCTGAGGCGTCTGAAGCAGTTCTGGCAGACGGGGTCGTTGTTATGTCCATGGCGGGCAGCTTTCGGAAAAAGCTTCTTGAGGGCAAACAGGCCGATGTCTTCGACCTTGCGGAAGTTTCTTTGATAAGGTATTTTCTTTTTATGCAAAATGAGGTAATCTGAACAAAAAACTCTATCCCGGCTAAAGTGGTCAGCCATCGCCACGCTTCTTGAGGCTGAAATTACTGGCAATGCAACTATGTGTGAAACCAGCAGCATGAAAATGGTCTGTCGTCTGTTCCTATGTCTCTCACTTTTAATCAGAGCAGACGTAAAACGGCGTGCGCAAGTATACGCAGTGCGAATGCAAAACTGAATTATAGTACCTTAAAATGAATTTCACAAGGTTTTTGTCGATAAAACTACGGGAGGCGTAATCTTTGTCCCTACTTTGAATCATAGGATCTGAAGCATTGCCTCCGAGATGCGGCGCACAGTAATTCATTTGTAGAGCAGACGACGGATGACAACTTGCCCTAAAGCGTGTTATTCCGTCTAATGCTGCAGTCTTCGTGCCCCAAATGATAAAAATTTGTTATGAATCAATTATGAACTCATTTAACATTCACTTCTCTTACCCAACGTGTTGCAAACACATGGCCGTCATAGCAGCTCTATATCTGTGTCAGTACTGAAAAGGCAACACATATTAGAAGTCTCAGTGCTCTACATATAAGAGTGAATTCAGATACTGTAGAATATCGTGTTCAAAATAGTTACTCCTATCTGCTAAAACAGCCTTTCTTCACCAAATGCGGTCACGTTTACTCGCCTTTGAAGCTCATTGCCGCTTTTCCGTTCCGATTTCCAGATTTCTCAACTTATCAGCGCATTCTCGAAAAGCTCTGATTTGTACCACGAATATTGTCGCTAAAAACAAATTAATGCAACATGTTTTCTTATATTACTGTATGATGGCCTTGGGTTGTATATTTACGAGATTTCAAGATAAATAGAATATGGGGTTTTTTATTATTCAAATTTCAGTGGAGTACACTTTTGCCAATATGAGAACTTTGTGGCAATATATAAAAATTTACATTTGCCCTACGGCAGCAATAATTTATGTACCTAATGAACAGACTATATCCTTAAAACGTGTCAAGTTTAAAAACGCTGCTTTCATTACTTTCGGAGAAAAAGAAATGGGGAATACGTAACTTATTTTAAATTGTCGCAAAAATTAAACATTTTTAAAAGCTATTTTCTTAAGGTCTGCCAACTTTAAATCCTATGAATTCATTCTTCGTTAGACATACATTTCAGGTAAATAATATCTTCTTTGAAACAAAAATATTTGTCTTTTTATAGCATCTGCAATTTTCGAAAATGACAGGTGACGAAGTTGGTGCCTCCGTGTTGAAGTTTGATATTTTTTTTTCGTAAGTTATGCCGTTATTAAAAAAACGAAGTTGACTTTCGGGCTACCTGGTGAAAGGTGCACGAAATATAAAATACTCAATGAAATCTAAAATATCAACTTTTGGACCCGTGTCGATCTCTCGTGGAATCACCCACCATGACATTCAACAAAGGCACCCACTCACGCAGAAACTTCTGCTGAGTTACGCAAATCAGGCAGAATTTTTTACATTCCTGTCACGTTACTCAGCTGCATACTGCTTTTCACTTCAAGTCCACTGCCAAAAGCGAAGGGAAGTGCGCAACGACGACAATATGTGAATTTGCGAAGTGAGTGTGATCATGATTCGAAAGTATGTTGTTGGAAAAAACATTCTTGCAATTAGCGTCGGTCGCTTCTTCATTTGTCCGTGTGTTTTTTTTATGCACTAGAAAACTACAGTGCGGAAGGTAGATATGAATTTCACAGCAGACCTGCTACGCCATCTGTCGTAGAAAGTACCTTATCATGTTAAACCAGCCCACGCCCTATTCATCTTTTTTTTTTCGTTTCCAAAGCACGTGCGCTAAATTTTCTGGTGCAAGATGCAATATTGCTTATGTGTGACAGATGAGGTGAAGAGAGAGTGTGAAAAACAGAGGTGTGGAGAAAGAAAAACACTCTCCGCGAGGCGAGAAGCGAGACCGCCTATGCATGATTCGAAAGCAAGCGTTTCAATTCAATTCAATTCAAAGGAATTTGATGCCGAGAGGTGATAATGTTTTTTGCTCGTATCGCGGTTCAACATCAAAATTTCACTAAAGTATTAGCATTCAAGTGCAGGGTGAATAAAGTAAGGGCATTTTTCAGCTATACAAAAGGCAGTAACGATGAACTCCTTAACAATGCGAATACTATTCTGGCCGGCTTTGTATTTTTTCTTATATATCTATTGACTATGTTACCACCCTAATGAAGTGGGATGATGAGGGGAATTGAAGCGTTCCTTCCAAAAGAAACTAATTACCGGAACCTCGTTCCTTCGAACGTCTTGGGACACTGCCTGAAGTAATTCAGCCCCATACTTCACATTTTTAGAATCTCGTACGACTGAAAACTATAGTCTGTAAAGGATTTTGAAATTAGCGATGTTGTGAACTAAATTTTTCGGAACTGTCTTGGTAATGTGACTACCACCGCATATTTAGAAGTAACTCTACGTTTCACAAAAATAAAACAAAGCACAGTACACCTATTTTGACTAACTTCTTGTCAGCGTGTCACTAATGTAACAGTTTTAGCGTCAAAGTTGTCCCACTTTAGCTGCACAGATGTATGCTATCCAACCATTCACCTCAAATTTTACTCGGTCTCCAGGCTTTTAAGCACCCTAGTACTTAAGGTGCCAAATTAACGGTTAACGGTAATTAGTGGTTAAGCAAGGTTCAAGCAGTGGTTAGACGATAGTAGTGATGACGTGGTAATATGTAGGGGTCGATGTTCCCTTTTACACACATTGACAATAACAAAAGAGTCTTCCAAAATTTTTTTTAATCACTGAGGACTTTCTTTGCCTGGCGCCAACTTTCCACGGTCCACAACGCTTCATCGACGCGCTGTAGTTCTGCGAAGAGACCCCCGCACACCGGCTTGTAGAGTTCTCGCTCTGGAGCACACAGCATGCTTTGGCCCAGCAGTTTGCTTTGCAACAGTGAATTGACCCTACGAAGGCAGAGAAAAAAGATGTAGAAAGGTTCACGTATTTTTGCGCTCTTTAAGGTTGCCTAGTTGGCATATATGCGAACTTGATATATATATCCAGAGAGTGAGTGGTGAGGAGCGGTGGGCTCTGGCGTGTGAGGGCGCTCGCATCGCGGGAGCTTGGCGGAGCTTTCGCTTGTGTGGAAAGAATGTAGAACAGGGTAGATGCAATGCTTCGCCACTCCTGTTGCCATTCGCTCTCTTTCTTCCCTGCAACCCCCTCTTCCATTCGCTCGTTCATACATATATGCATGTGTGGAATGAACCACGCACCTTACTCTCGAGCGTTCATTGCCGGATGTATGTTTAAATTAATGGCTATGGTACAAAACCTTGTCTCGTCAGTATTTACGCCAATAAAATCAGTAGGCCGTGTACTCTTCGTGCTAAAAATGCTCACGATTTCCTTTAGAGAGATCAGGGCCATTTTTATCCTGCATGTTTTTTTGTTTTTTTTTTGCATTTGCTGGTACACCGTTGTCAAGTTTATTAGACGCACTCTTACACAATAACGGAAGTGGTCGCATCTTCTAACTGCATGGCTTTCACTATTTCAGTACTCCTACATAGTGTCGATTTACTGTACAGTTAGGATGTGCTCGCTTTTTTTTTTCTCCGGCATGGTGTCACTGCCTCGGAAAAAGCAACAAGTGGGGGTATTTGTAGAATATATAGCGCCCGATTGTGTGCCACTCAACATGAGGCCAGCATTGACTCCGTTACAATTGTTTGTCGTTATGGACACCCCTCGTTTCACGAGTACTACAACCGACCTATAGCTTTCACAGGCCGCATTTGTCATGCTATCCAGCCGAAATATCAACAAAACTCAGCTCAGGTAAGTTGATTTTCCCAAATACGCGACTAAGGTTCTTTGTTCATGACGGTGCGCTTTAATTAGCAGCCTCTGCAGTTTAAGCACTATTTCCCTTGAATTAATTCCGCGCAATTTGTTTCACGGTCCGTCTTCCACGGCCAGTCGAAGTATAAATTGGTGGTGGGCTTCGAATAAACAAGAAGCCCCACCACGGCGGGGAGCTAAATGATGTAGAAGGTTGTGCTGCTGTATAAACTTTGAAGTAAAAAATATGTCATTGATGATATTGAATATCGCGCAAAGCTTTCAATCAGAAAGATATGCCTAGTATGAAACAGAACTCTTGGCTATAAGTTTGCGATAACTTCTGTTCTCGTAGCGCGAATCTGTAGTTTTATACCCTCAAATTCTCTATCTGCAAACTCACCTAGGCTGAGTACTGGAAGATCGTGAGGGGACAACATGCACCCCGAGATTAGATATTTGCCGTGGTTGCGTGCCTTTTTTGTTGTTTGAGCAGTGGATATAAGCTCGTAGGTTATGTACCTGATAAGCATTGGTAGTAAACTTACCGTTTTGGAGCGAGCTCTAGTTCTTTTTTGCTGGCCAACCGGGGGTTAGCGGCGTAACAGTGGCCCTGGAAGTTAGGCGATTGTAAAGAAAGCTTCATTAGTAAAATCACCAAAAAAATTGACTGGAAGTAACTTTCACTTCGCAGCCGAACCTAACAGAAAGAAGTACAAGAAATAAGGGGCCCTGAAGCTTCAAGTTTAATAGTTGAACGCGACAGTGATAATATGGTACTAGTGCGTACATGAAACACTTACTGCATGAAAGCTTTCCGAACTTCCTACTCACGACTACATGGACTTAAGGGAGTAGGCACAGTCGCATGTCTGCCTTTTGTGGTGGGTGGCCGGATTTACGTCTCGAATCAATTTCGATAATCAGAGTTCTGACGCGCGCTGGCAACGGGCGCTTGTACCACGCATTATTACTGCAATATTTCATGCTGCATTGTAAAACATCTACACAGGACGCGTGTGTTTGTGAAGCGTGAAAGCTACTTTCACTGTATTTCTAACCAGAAGTTCATTTCACTGTATTCGCAAGTAGACGCATGGCTATGTGGTAGAACATCCGCTTGCCATGGAAACGACTCAGGTTTTCCCCTCTCGAACCGAAACAATCCTAGTTTAGTCCCTATTCTGAACCATTTTTTCGGTTATTTCATTTGCATCCTTCTGGATTTTCTGATCGCGCATAAGACGATTATTTTTAGCTGACAACCACAGCAGAAATTTCGCGAAACAAACTGTTTAACGCTAGCGTGTTAAAGATTCAAAAGACTGGCAGTTGCGCGCACTGCACAACAACAACAACAACAACAACAACAAATAATAATAATAATAATAATAATAATAGTAATAATAATAATAATATATTATTATTATTATTATTATTATTATTATTATTATTATTATTATTATTATTATTATTATTATTATTATTATTATTATTATTATTATTATTATTATTATTAACATTAATAAGTTATCCCATATCAGTTGTAACTTGTCAGTTTTCGACCATATTTGATCATGCTGAAAAAAAATCATGCAGGTATATGCGAATGGCAGTAGTAGTTGTGAGGCATTATATTTTGCAAAAAAATGTTGTGTTCCCTGAGGGCACTCGATATTTTAGGTACCCATGCGAAACAGTGTTAGGCCAAATATTGTATAATAATACTCGTATTAGTAATTATTAGGGAAAAATCTTTTCATCCATCTCGTGTCGTTACTCTTTCATGACTATGATGCTTTATTCATTTGTGCTTTCATTTTCTTTCTTTTTGCTTTAGCGGAAATTTTAAATATAAAACGTGTCTAGCTCTTTTTATAAGAAGCACAAATCGCCAAAATATTGTGGAACCGCTAGAATCAACGGCGTTGTGACTCATACTGTGGCTTAATTATTGCATTGCAGTGGTCAAAGCAAAAATATGTTTTTCATAATATTGGATAGCCTATTTTGTGAGTAAAATATGCAGAACGTTTCAATAGTGTAGAATTATCTTTAAGGGAAAAGTAATTTCTAACTGAACAGCCACAAGGCAGTACGAAGCCCACCTTTGCTTCATAATCACTGCATAGCACGTCAGCGCGAGGTTCCAGCGGGGGCATTTCGGCAGTGAATAAAGCGTGTCGCAAAACTTCTTGTTGCTTGTAAATCTGCTGGAATACTGCTGTACTGAACGTCTAAAACAGACAGTAGTGCTTGCTTTACAGATCCGTATCTTCCCCAAAGTACCATTAAATGGCAGGTTATATTTCTACGTTCCTTTCCTCAAGTTTTGGTTATCACCCCCTCACACTATGATCAGCGCTAACCACGCCTACAGTGTTAGAGAAGCTTGGAGTCTTCTAATTTAGAAGATTGTTTTCCTAAAATTACGCCCACTTTGTGAAGCTTTCAGATTATTCTGGAACCTACGTCACCGCCAGCGATAACGCTAGAATGTCTGATGGCAAGTGTATAAAGGACGACACGCTTCGCCGCTTGTCAGTTGAGCGACGGACGCTCAGTTTGCCGCTAGTGGTGCAAGTGTAAGTCTTGCTGTAATCTGATTTTCGTTTTGCATGGCCACAAGTTCTGCCCAAATAAACAGTTTCATCTTCAACGTGAAGTGTGGCACCTTCGTCAACGTCACTACTCCGTGGTAATATTGAACCACTTAGTCCGTCGCGGCAAAATTATAATACAGTAGATGGCCTGCAATACAGAATTGAGGCATTGTGTTTGGCTTTTGGTGATTTTTAATTATGGTAATTGTAAAAATTACTGGCATATTTAAAAGGTCTTTCGTCTAGGCTGTTTAAGGATTTTTGAGGTAGAGGCCGACATGGGATCACTAACCACAGGTGTGAATGATGAAATTCTGTATTCTAGAAACGTGAGAGATGATTGAACATTGTGCCAACAAATGATACTTTAGTCACCATTTCTGGAGGGGTTTGAACATTTTATTCCTCCTCCTAATGGTGCGAAGTGCTGAGAACGCTTCAGTTTGAGCCCTTCTGCTAATGGTGACGTGCTTTCAATATTTTGCACCCTATAGGGTGCAAAATTTTATGGTTTTATACGACCATAAAATATGGATTAAACGTTTAAATAATAACCAAAAATGGCCAACTAATTGTAATGTATGGACAAAATAGCAAACCCTATCCAGCATGTACACATAGAGCACCTTTCATCATGCCCACCAGCGGTAATTGATCATTCATCGGCCTACCGCTGAAACGTATGTTATTATAAGACCATGTGTATTAATTTTCAGAAGCTGCACACAATTCAGCAATACGCCCTGGACTAAGAAGTAGTTACATATGAACTGCCCTTTGCTGGTCCAAGAAAGAAGATACGGTTCCGTAAATAAAGCACTGTTGCCTCTATTTTTGACGTTAAATACAGTGGTACTGCTGAAACGAGTGACAAAATGGACAAGATGGAAGAGAACACGGAAAATTCCAGTATAACAACTGAAGTTTTTTAGAAAACAACTCTTAAGAAGGAAAAACGAAAACACCTGGTTATGATTAAGTGTTAGTGGTTACATAATCGATCTTAAGTTTATGAATGTTCACCGATGCCCTCGCCACACATGTCAACGGACTTATGTCCAGACCTAATACGAATTGTTTGGCGTGACACACTTCCCTTCGGGCGCACAAAGTTTGAAGCACCTTGAAAGCAACAAACCATTTTTTGGGGAAACATAACGTAACAGTAACTACTTTTCAAATGCATGTATACTTGCCTAATGCTTTCAGCCTGATCGGAGATAGTGTAAAGTTGGTTGGGTACACTTCATATAAATGACCACATTTTATAATAATAATAATAATAATAATATAAAACAATGATAATAATCATGATAATAATCTTTACTGTCATCTAGAGTTGTACGAAAGAAATAACAGCTAGGCCTGTCAAAGCCAGACGGTGGCTTGGAGGACTTGGGCCGGTAATCGACAAACGAGAGATGACATAAATATTGAAAAGCTTTTCATGCAAAGAGTCAAAGAAAGAATACATGTAAGTCATTTACGCTACATATAAATACAATAACAATCAAGAATCAAATTAGCGGAAGCAATACTACCTAAACAGCAGAAATCTGAAGATAAGTATTGAAAATTTCAAACAAATTTTACCCGTAATGCGATAACCAAGCAAGGAAACGCAATAAAACGTGCCAAGGGCAAGAAAACGTAGTAAAACTATTTGTTTTACTACGTTTCCTTGCCCTTGGATTCGTACGGAATTGGTGCTTTACCACACGCACGTGGCCTCTACGCCCACATAGACGCTGTGTACAATTATTGCACACAGGTTTTGTTTAGGAAGTGAAGCCTAGCATGAGATAGAACACGAAGCAGTAGGTTTACCAATAGTGGCCCTCGTTGTACGATTACTGCTGTTGACCTAGCTTATGCAAGTGACTTTCTGGTTTTTATAGGGCACTCCAACTGGAACACGAACAAAATGGTTTCACCGTAGGCAAAAAGGTTCTCACCAAATACGAGACCGCGTTGTTCTATATCGTCGCGAGAGGAAACACCAAAAGGCGGCGAGACGTAGCGAACCTCAGCACCCCACAACTTCTTCCTCCTCAGCCTCGACTGCCACTAGCGCGTGGAATTACCCTCTCCCTACGAAAAAAAGTTGTTCAGCTCGATACGATTGTTTGAAACAAAAATGAAAGCCGATTCTTGAGATTCGCCAACCAGCACAGAGAGTGGTGATCACTTAATATTCGGAAAGGCCGTCCGTAAAAATATGGGCGGAACTTTTTAATGGCCAATCTAACGGCCAGGCATGATTTTTCAGTTCTTGAATAGTTCTTCCCGGCAGAAGACAACGAGCGGCTTGCATAGGCGATATCACGTTCGGCACCGTCTTGAAACTGCACGAGGATGGCTCCGAGACCATGGTTGCTAGCATCAGTGTGCACTGCGGTATCTGCTTCTGCGTCAAAGTGACCAAAGATCGATAGTTTTTGAAGTAGCTGCTGTAGCTCACGGAAAGCGTCAGAATGTGTCGATCCCCAGGAAAAGGCGACGTCGTCCTTGATCAGTTGTTGCAAATGTTCTGCGATTTTGGAATAATTTGGTACAAAACGGTGGTAATACACACAAACGCCTAAGAATCGGCGCAAATCTGGCTTCGTCTTCGGCATCGGGAACAGAGCAACTGCCTTGGCCTTTTCGGGGTCAGGACGCACACCTCTTCTGCTCACAATATGGTCCAAAAATTTTAGCTTCTCGTATCCAAAGTGACACTTTTCCGTCTTCAGGGATAGGCCAGCAATACGAATGGCCTGCAGCGCTTGATGTGCTCTTCAAACGTCGTAGAATAAACAACTACGTCGTTCAAGTACACTAAACACGAATGCCATTTGAGGTCAGCTAACACTGTATTCATCATTCGTTGAAACGTAGCTGGAGCGGAAAATAACCAAAAGGAAGAACCTTGAATTCGTAAAAGCCGCCAGGGGTTATAAACACCGTTTTTTCCCGGTCTCGTTCGTCAACTTCATTCTGCTAGTATACGCTACGTAGATCCATCGAG